GTGAGGAAAAAAAGGGGAAAACAGATGGGAAAAACCACCAGAGATACAGACGGGATACGGCCCGCAAAGTTGTCAATCATGACAAACAAAATGGGCAATTAACAGCTTCCCCACCATTCAAGGCGCCAGGACTAGATGGGGTCTTCCCAGGCCCCTGAGATGGTTGATAGAACTACTGGACCATCTTGTAAAAAAATTTTTAAAGGGGTGCCCGGCCATCATACACCCCTTGAAAGGAGAGAAGTCAAAGTAGTCTTTTTCCCCAAAATGGTAAATTTACTACACACAACCCAACACACCGACCTATTTGTCTCACTCTTTTCTACTAAAGGTTCTCGAGAGGTAATAATAGGGGAAACAGGGAACTGCGTTTTTCATCACCCTCACACCCCAATCAACACGCCTACTCGATGGGTAAATCAACAGAATCTGCCCCATCGGTTTTTTTCATAAAGAAACAATCTAAATCACAAAAGGTCAAACTGGGTACCTTTTTCGATATCGGGGGCCTTTTACAAGACCAAAATTTACCGCCCTTAGCCAAGCCTTCTAGGCATGGGTTGATTCCACAAACTCAGGGGTGTCGTTTTTGCATCTAAGATTAAGCTATTCAAATTACTGTGGCGAAGTGCAGAGGAGTGGGGGCTAGAGGTTTCCCCCAGGGCGGTTTCTCTCCCCCCTTCTATGGAAACATTGTGTGGATGAGCTCATCGCACAATTAAAGACCAAAGGTTCCTCCAATAGGCTATGCGACGATCTTACTATTCTTATCAGCGGTCCTTTTTTAGAGTACTGCGATCAAAAAACTTGCACTGAAGATGGGAACAAAAGGGGCGTAGCACACAACCTGCAGGAACCCTCCAAAAAAGAGATTACATGTTCACAAACAAAGCAGCCTAGGAAAAACTAGACTTCCCAAGCTATTTGGGAACCCCAAAATTTTCTTTCCAAAGAGGTCAAATCCTAGGAGTATACTGGACAGTAAACTCCTGTGGAAAGCACCCCCGATTTAAAAAATGAAAAGCCTCATTTTTTTTGCCCAATGCAAAGCGGCTACTCGGGAAAAGTGGGGGGCTACACCCAAAAACACTTTTATGCTAACAGGCAGTCATAAGACCAAAAATCACTTACGGTGCTGTTGTCTGGTGGCAAGAACAGGAGCTTAACCCCTCATAAACAAAGCAGCAATTCCAGCGACTTCCCTGTTTTCCCCGGGCACTGGGTGTATCGCACAACGCCCACTGCCGCATGGAGGGGGGCTCTTGGTCTGCCACCCCTGGATCTATTTATACGAGGAGGCCGCCATGGGGGTCATTAGACTCAAACACCCGGGTCTATGGCCAAAAGTGAGGGATCGCATCCAAAAATGGGATCAAAGTGGAATACGAAAACTGAAACAGCTCCATGCATGAATCCCAAAAAACCCTATCTTTTACAAGAAATACTACATCCAATACTGGAAATGACCCCAGATCAATCCGGGGTTTAAAGAAACCGAATTTACACGGACGGTTCCAGACAGGTCAGGACTGGAGCCGGATTTTTTTCGCAAGACCCAAATATAAACAAATCACTAGCGTTAGGCCACACGTTCCATATTTCAATGTGAATTTTGGGAATAACTACGCTGCACAACGGCCCCTGTCAAGGGGATCCAAAGGGCTACAACATCCCAATAATATCCGACAGCAGGCCGTCTTAAAAGGCACTGGAGGGGGAACACAATAACCTCTGGTATTGCTTCGAAGCCACCAAGACTGGAACAGCTCGCTATAAATTTTAAAGGGGTCCCCTTCCAAGGTTAAAAAAGGGGACAGTACTCACACGGGAACGATGCCCCAGATGATTGGCAAGGGGGGGCTCGGCAACCCCAACCCCTGGCCCCAACGCCACTCCTGCCCCTATCGTTTAACCAAATACGAGCTGGTCGGCAACGGACCTGTGAAGGGCCACAACCGGGGGTGGAAAACTCCCCGGCTGCAGACAGTCCAAAATGGTGCTAAACAAAATCACACCCCCCCCCCCAGATTGATCCAGTCTTAGCAACCGGAACCCGAATGGTTGTCGGGAATATTACAGACATCTAGCCCCGAAACCCACAACATTTATAAACAAAGGGGGACGGACAGTCCCCTGTGCAGGGGATGTCTGGAAAACTGAAGAACGGGGCCGCCATATCCCCGGAATGCGAGGGAGTGGCCACCAACGGCAAGTTCATTCCTATATAAAGTCCCGCTCCCCAAAGCCCGTGAACGCCCCAGGAGGGTTCTGCGTCTGGGGAATGGGTTGTTGGTCCCTAGTCAACCCAAACCTCGGCATAAAGGGCCTTTTATCTAAATGCGGAAAAGAAACCCCCAACCAATACCAATACCAATACCGTTTAATATGGTATTGACACCTTATCAAAATTTTTTATGTTTTTTTGAAAAGAAACGTTTTTTTAGAAAAATGTACTAATACCATCTTTGACGTCACTATTTTTCTAACCCCTTTTAACGAGCAATTCATGTAAATATTTATCAACAGCCTATAATATGCACTATTTGGGGCATGGGGTCTCCTTAAAAGTGGTTTTGGGCCTACTATACCACGCTGGCCAGACGGGGGGTATGGTTTGTGTCAAGTTTTTTTTCTCTTTTTAGTGCTGTTTTTCCTCATAGTTTCTCCCTTTGTCGGGCTGTACGACAATCACGGGGGAATTTGGGGGGGATGACAATCCCCATTCTTTAATATATCGTATACTTATATATTACATATGTTATCGTATATATAATATTAGTATATATTATATATATGTTATATTATCTAATCTCGAAAAACCCGGGTTCACGATTTTCATGAAATTTTGTATGCAGGGGGTTTCGGTGGGGATTTTTCAAAAATACGGAATACCCAAAAAAACGGAAAAATGAAACCTCTAGATTAAATTCGGGCGGCGGGCGGTATCCAGGTCTACCATTTAATTGAAGAATATATTTAAAGTTTATTAATTTAAATGCGTAACAGTTTTATAAAGCTAGAATAAAGTTTTTTCCTAGATGTGTTGTGATATTCTTTTTTTGATAAGTCAATACCCTTTGCTAACTGCACCCACTAAAACAGTGTCACCCTTGACCATAGCCTGAACGCCTGCGAAACATTTTCCAAAGCTTTTCCTTAAATTCCCTTTTCGTTTTTAGGTAATTTCCCGGGCACTTTTAAAACCCTAACTTAGAATATTTTGCAACAAAAATTTTTCAATTTTTCGCAAAGGGAAACAAATTTGGAGGGGAAATATAAGGTGGATAGAAAAAAGTTTTACTTACACCAAGTCCCAGTCGAGTTCTTCGATTTCGCGCAATAGCTGCAAGAATCTATTGCGGAAGTACGGCACGAACTGTATGTCGTCCTCCAAAATCAGCCTGATAGGGATCTGCTCCTCAACGATCTACTAACACACAATCGAACTAATCGTATAATTATAATAAACTAATTTTTAATGTTATTAGTGTAATAAGTTAAAAATAATATAATGTAAGCACTGCACTGATGGCGTAGTGGTTTAAGCGGTCACCTCGCCGTTTCCTACTGCGCTGAGTGTTGTGAATTCGATCCCCATATGGGACAAGTCTGTGTGATCCACTGATCCACATTTGTAGTTCTGCGTCCGGGTGTTCTTTTTGTCTATAAAGTCCCCGCGACACAGGGTATGTCCTAGTGCGAGGAGTTGTCTTTTTTTTTTTTAAATACGTTGTTAGTATAAATAAGAGTAACATTGTACTACTTACCGTTTCCCAAATGTAATAGTGACTAAGAAAGCAACCCACTTCCTGCTTTCATTGGCCTTGAAAATAGAAAGATATATATATATAAATGTGTCTTACTACTTCCAACGAGCGGGTTTCGAATTTTATTTCTTATTATGTATACCCTGCCACGCTTTTGCTGTGGCGTATTGTGGATGCATTGATGAAAAATTAGAGATGAATAGAATAAAAAAACACATTCATTGAAGCGTGTTGTGCATTGTGTCAAAATTTGAGTTCAATCGTACAGAACTTTTAGAATTTTTGAAGCGTACAGAAACCAACTTAACCTTTTATATTAATAAATGATGAATTAAAGTGTAACCTTCTTACCAAAACAGTAATTCTTATCTAGAGGTTTAGCAAAAAAAAAATACTACGTCAATATGTTTCTTACCTCTTATGATAAGGGGTCTTCGTAGTTAGGCATCAGTGTTATGGATCTTTCTTTTAAGTTCTTCATATCTAACCTCCTGGAAGTTAATAAAAGTCAGGTCATATGATGATAGTTTGTATGGCACAATAGCGATCAAAGTTCTTAATGGGTACGATAAGCAATAGATACAGCACCGTCAGACCTAGAATTATTTTATTTCAGATTTATGTAAAATAATGTAGAAACAATCAAAGATTTTAGTATTGTTATTTTTATATCTCATAAAGATATGTAGGTATAGTAGGCCAAAACCTCCTTTCTAAGGAGAGCATATGTCCAGCAGTGGGCTATTAAAGGATGATGATGATGATGATGAAAGGTAGTTTCTCTTCTCGTCTCAAACATTTGCCGTGCCTGACAGAGTCTATAATTAACATCATACCTAATTTTTAGACCTTTATAATATAATAACAATCATTTACTACTACTAACTAACTAACTAACATTTACTACTAACTACTAACTTTATATTTACAAAATTATGGAGTGCAATAATGACATTAAATACCTAATCAATGTTACACTAACTTGCCATCTACAGCCGAAAATGTGTCACATCCATTCAAGTTCTTTAAAACTCATCTCCATTAACGTCCTTCTTTCTGTTCTTCTCTCGAGGGTTGATCATATATATCTCATTGCATCCAAACTTCCAAGGTTTAGGATATTGCATATCAGCCTCCATGTATGACTCTAGAGGGAGAGGCCTCCCTCGACTGATCGCCAACAATTTCAAATTCAATAATTGTTCATAGTCCATTTTCAGTTCGTCATTCTCTTCAAGTGGGAATTAGAATAAATCCATACAGTTCCTCATTGCAAATCATTAGTTCCATGCCTATTAAATCATAAATATCTATTAGACAGACAACAGAGGGCACAGATATTTGACGGATAATAGTACTCGTAATAGTTGCTATTTTATGACTTATTGAGACATCAGACAAGCAAGTGATGTTTGCATGTTTGTTTTGGTATAATGGAGATAATTAATAAAAAATAGGGACATTATACACTACATAAATACGAATAACTTCTTTCCATCAGTCACACATGAATTTCAAAATACCGAGTTTCATAATTCCGAATGGTTTTAAAATTCCCAATATAACAACTACAAAATTTCAATTTACCTAACGTTTATAATTACTATGCTCAAAATACCGAGTTTCAATAGATCGAATGACACACCAACTGAATCAGAATCCTAATTTTAGCAGTTTTATTCGAAGTATTGAAAATCGGAAAGTCGTTTTTCGAACTGGGAACCCATCGAGCATTTCATTCTTTGAACGTATAAAAATCGGAAAACAAACAAATCGCATTTGCGACTTTCGGTAAAATAAATATCGAGAATTTTAATAATAGCCATTAGAATTGATAGTTACGTATTATAAAATTCGGACTTGTGAAAATTGGACTATCGAAATTCGGAATCAAATATACGTATTTCGGAGTATTTAGGGTGTTCCTATTTATAGGATTACTAGGAGCCTTAACATATTTCATCACTCAAAACCACTTAACAAATGAAAGAAATTTACAAAGAATGATTAATAAATAAAAATAAATAATCAGCCATTAATTCTATTGTCTTTCTGTCTTTTGATTAGCAACTCCCACATTAGGAATATATATCCTTCACAAACATACATGAAACGGGCACAACGACACCCAGACTTAGAACTAACTTCTGAATCATGCAAAATGTTGTCCCATGTGGGGATCGAACCCACAACACTCAGCGTAATAGGAAGTGGCGTAGCGACCGCTTAAACCACTACGCCATCCGTGCAGTCCCTATTTATATCTCTACTTGTGTCTGCAGGCCTCCTAAGGATAAAATAAGGATAAAATAAGGAACTGGATCATCACTCACCATTTTCTTTAGCGTTTACGGCGAATGCTATGATATCATCTTGAGGTCCATTATAACCAGGAATCTTTTTTGGATCATATGTCAGTAAGTCCGATGCTAAAGTTTTCATATTTATAAGAACGGCTGTATGAACCATAGGGACGGAAAAACAGCCGACTTTCTCTCGGCTTTGAATTGGCTTGTAATCATCAGTCCTCTTGTAGTAAACTTCTCTGTCATACCACACCTAGAAATAATTTTTATTAGTCAACATTCAATCGTCCTTTACATAACAATTTGCAACATAATAAGTACATACTATTTGTTAATTTAATTTAATGTTACTAAAAAGCTGTTAGATTGATGATTTGTTGATTCTCACTTAGGTACATGTGTAGGAATGTTGTGTAATATATTTTTTTTTTATGAAAGAGGGGCAGACGAGCTGACGGGTCACCTGATGAAAAGTAACTACCGCCGCCCATGAACACCTGCAATTCAGGAGTCACAAACGCGTTGCCGGCCTTTTAGTCGGAAGGAGTGCGCTCTTTTCTTTGAATGATTAGAGGTCGTATCGGCCCGGAAATACGAGATGAAAATTTTGCCGTGTGGAACGATGGCGGCAAGTTGCGGCCGGTATTAGTCCGAATAATTTCTTAGACCACTCTCCATGTTATATACGATAGAGAATGCAGAGTGAAGTTACATCTCTACGAAAAGCCAAAGGATCGAGCAGATCGGAGAGCTTAGGCCTATCGATGATTCGAATCGCTTTTCGTTGGATGCGGTCCAGAGGGAGAAGCTGGTACTCGGGTGCCCCTACATAGAGATGAGAACAGTATTACGTACTCGGTCGGACTTGCGCCTTATAGAGCTGAAGACGGAGGGCCGCAGTGAAATACTGCCTCGATCTGTTCAGCTCGAGCATCGAGCTTTTTAGAGGCTGATTTGATCTTCTCTTCCAAGTGACCCCGAAACTAGACTTCGCTCAATATTACGATGCCTAGGATTCTGATACTGTCTGAGGTAGTCAGGGAGGAGCTCTCAAACCGAGATTATTTATATTATAAATAATATTATAATTGTTTTTTTTTTACTGTAGTACATGTTTAGTGTTCGCCCTTTTTTTTACCCGTGTGCAAATTACCTTATCTCTGCCAGGGCTCTTTGCCTGTATCAATAGAACTCATTTCTGTTTATTGACAGATTTCAATAGACTCAAAACCCTTCAGAGACTCGTGCCATTGGGCTCCTTCATACATCTTAAGGTTTGAGGCTACAGATCTTATACATTTCATTTAAAGACGATACAACACTGTGGGGCACACACTACTATCTGGTAAAGTGATTAAAATAATGACGGAGTCCATGCACATAATGGTGGACTATTTACTAAAAACGAGATACATACAATCATACACATTTTCTAAATTAGGCAGATGCACACTACTGTGATATTTTGTCATCTTGTATTACATACATTTAGTATGATTTAGAACACGAATTCCCAAAGTGGTCGATATCGACCTCATGTGGTCGAAATCGGTTTCCCAGGGGTCATCATAAACGAATTCTGTTTTTGAGGGTCGACCGGGGTTTAAAAATCGATCCGTATTAATTAATACAAATTCTATTTGAAACTTTCAAGATACTGTATAAGTTGTGTTACTTGCTCCAATTTGTTATATAAATGACTAATATTTTAATAGGAAGTATCATAATTCTACTTTTAAAAACTCAACAAGTCGATAACCGTGCCGTTATTTGGCTATGGGGGATTTGAGGTATCAGTTCATTTAAGAAAAGGGGGTGTCTTGCCCAAAATAGTTTGGGAATCCCTGATTTAAAACAATCTACGAGTACTACCAATGTGTTGCATGGTTTGGTATAAACTTTGTGTTAGTGTCCTTACCTATACAAGAATCAAGCTTTATTATAATCAATAATATATAATGTAAGTTTAAATATTGTCCACTTCACTTTAATTTAGTTTTTTTCTTTAAATATTTATTATATACATACATTTTAAGAATATAACATTTGTTCTCGAGAGAGTCAGGCGTTCATAACAATATAAAAATATCCAATAAGTTCTTCACTTAGCTAATAATTTTCATAAAAATATGTAGTATCATATGACTTTTTTGACGGATTACACCTTAATAAAACAGCACTGTATAATAACATAATATATAAGATGTGTAGTGAAGATCTAAGAGTACAAAGAGGACATTCAAAAGTTCTGAAGTCAATTAAACAGTAAGCAATAAAAAGCACCTTATGAATGCTGCACATGCTTTCATGCAATAACTTTTAAGCTAACCAGAAATTGGAATATAGTCCATCTGATATCAACATTGGAGCAACAATATCCATCTCTTTTAATAAGAGGTTTCTTAAAGTCAATGGATTGGTTAGGAATACATCTGCATCTATCATCTGCAAACACAAAGTTAAATCAATTATCTTCAAGGTCAGCGGCAGTTGATGTCAATGTCTTATAGCTTCGTAACTCCATTTGTGCTATAAAAAGCATGAATAAGTTCAGATATTGATCTTTTGAGTTGTTAGCAAGAGTAATCACCAACACACTCATTTTAGTACGAAATTTTTATCATACCAGGCACAATAAAAAACATAGATTTTTATGTATTTCCAGCTAACGAAACCATCAGTTTGGTCTTGTTAAGAACAACAGGTCTACACTAAAACATAGTCTTTAAGACATCAGGACTTCTGAGGATAGACTTCTGCAGTATCACTCTATAGCTCTCTCACCCTCTTCATTTTCATACCTTCTCTTCACCCCTTTTTTTCCGTGCGGAAATCCCCTCTGATACCATTTGTCGGTGGCATGTCGGACTCGAACCAACTAAAAACCGCACGCCGTCTCGGGTACTAATAGCCGGGGAACCAGGTATACCCTAGAAAGGACCTTCTCTTCACCCCTAACCGTCATTCTATGTACCATCTGCAAATCATCAGTTTTCACTAGGGCAGCTACTAAAAAAAGGTCATACTCTTTATCAATTATATGTTGCAAGCAAATAAAACTGGGAGAAGGGTAAGAAAAAAAAGATGATTTTTAAGATGAATACCTGTGTGAGGCAACTATTTGTGTAATTTAAATACTCAAATAGTTCATCCTTTGCTAGTCCACTGCTGGAAATAGGCCTCTCCTTAAAAAGGAGCTTTTGACTTACTATACCACGCTGGCCAGACGGGTTAGCGTCAAATAGTTGCCTCATGGAAATAGTAGTTTTTAGTTTGTCTGATGTGTTCATTTTTTATTTAGAAAAACTTAACAAGTGTGATTCAGACCGTAGTAATAATATAAGAATACTACTACTATAACATATGTCTGAGAATTGCAAATTCTTAAAACATGACTCATTTAAGATTAAGAAGTCCTGATCTTTAACCTAATTTAACCTTATTTTGCTTCAAGTCACTGATCAAAGGGGAATGACCACTTTTGGTATTGCTGCCATGTTAGTTGCGCCTTAAGTTTAAGATTATAACAATTAGGCTATTGATTTTGTCTTAATAAACAGGGCAATAAAGAACTAAGACGTTCATGGGTTTTTATTGCAGGCATTGATCAATCGGTTTATAAATGAAAAAAAAACTGCAGTGTGCTATTAAATTAGAGGGTGGAATTGAAGATAAGGGTGAAAATCCACTCCTTTTTGGTTTTTCTCTCTCTCTCGTAAACAAATCAAAATTTTGATATATCTCATATGAAACTTTTCATATAGAAACAAATTTCTCATCAAAACAGCATTTTTCTGAACATTAAAAAACATTTTTTTTCAAGTCGAAACAGTTTGAAACAAACTTTAAAAAAAAAAGAGAACTGCATCTTTGTTTTTAGATAGGTATAAGGATCTTTATTCTATCTCCAACTTTCCAAGCCTTCAGGGATAAGATGTACACTTAAGGGTGACCGATTCCGTTTTCCAATTACAAGCGCCATTTTGACTCTCACGAAAACGCGAAGGGAAAGGATAAAAAATGAACTGCAGGCCCACTGCTATAATATAAGTGATTTATTCTAGACACAAAGATCTTTGTAGCAACCCTAAGTTCCATAGTTGGGTTGGTCGTTCCATGCCATTTCGGACACCAGTTGCTGGTACCAGGGATTTCCTTTGGGAATCAGGTGTACCTAGGGTACACCTGGTTCCCAAAGGTTCACAAGCATAACTTGTTCACTTGAACAATCCCCTTTGTAATACCAATTCCATACTAAAATTATCTGTATTCATAAAAACATTATAACCAACAGGGATTATTCTAGAAAGATTATTAATACAGATCATTTTTGATAGTTCAGCATCAATACTTCAATATTGACCAGTTTGTGGATTAGTGATTTTGTTCATGCTAATAGAGAGAACAATTTCATAATAATAACCTCAGACATCTCACACACGGCCGTCTGATCCCAAACTAGGCAGAGTCTGTACAATGGTAATCAGACTGCTGATTATATGTTTATCAGCAATCTGGTTACCTTGCTAATATATTTCTAAATAAATACATATTATAAGTAAATTACACCCAGACACAGAACAAACGATCATGCTACACAAATATTTGTCCTGGGTGGCAATTGAACCCCACAATCTCTGGCATAGCAGTCAGCATATTCACTAGATAGTGTATATTTAATACTCACAAAAATATAGTCAGCCCACATTTGCCTGGCAAATTCAAGGGCTTTTTCCCTTAGGTTGATGACATGTGTGAAATGTTGAGGAGTCCACTGCACACATTTTGCCTCATCATTGTGCAAGGAGCCACTGCTAGAGTTTGTAATTACATATAATCTTTTGTACTCCAACGAATGTTTTTTCAACCCATTTCTCAATTATTTCTATACTATTGTCTTCATTAAAGTCACTATAAAACCTAAAATAAAAGGCTTTCAATATAACTAAGCATATATATTTTTATTTCTAAACTGATATCGGCTCAGTATTTAGGGGAGAAGTACCTAATCCAAGTATCTAGTTGTAAGTACTTAATTCAATAAAATCGAATTAATTAATAACTTTGGTGTACTATGTCGCAAACTGAACGTGTTATCATAATCACACGTCGTTATGTTGAAATAAATCATCTCAAATTTAGGTCACCTATGAAACTGGATCGTCAAGTAATAGAATTAATAATATTTTATAAATGCCCTTACCATAAGTACAAGCGGTCTTTAGGATATTCCAAATTATATAAACTAGTGAGAAAATAGGGTAAAGTGTGAGCTTTATTCCGCACTAACACAGATATTCCCACTGTCGGCAATTTATGATCACCATTCTTAACCGTCCCACCAGTACAATTGTTTAAATCGAAGACATAGAATTTTATAAGCAGTAGTACTAGTAAATGCCTCATTATGATAGTTTTAAAATTTTAAATCTCTTGAGGTATACTCTATTTGTGCTCAGTAATTTTAATAAGCAACACTAGATTTATCAGGTTTCAGAGAATTAAAATATATGTATGTAGGTCTACGTAACGTAAGTAACCCTCGGCAAAGATCATTGGGCTGAATTGGGAATTGTAATGTAACATCTGTCAAAAAAAAGTATGAAGTATCTGACAGTAATGACGTCTGTTCTCAATGTGTGGTAATTGGAAGATTTATGAGATGTAATAGCCATTAACCAAAAGTTGAAGTTGAGATGTAATAGGAATTGAAGAAAAAATGTAATTGAAAATAGGAACCTCAGAAAATGCCATAGAAAAATATATATACACAAAACAATGACTCCAAGGCCTGCAACGCGCTTGCGACCTGACATCAGGGGACCCACAGAGTACCAGTGCTGCCAACCTAGTTGATTTTCCACTAAAACTGGTGGTTTCGACCCCACTTTTAGAGACGAAATTTTGCTTTTAGTGGCTAGTGGTTTAGTAGTAGTAGTAAGATTTTAGAGGACTTGGGAAATACCGTTGAAAGATGAACTGTGAAAACGCAAACCTCCAGAACGTTTGATAGGAAAGGAAGGATGGTGATTGGATAAAAGTGCTCAGGAACAGAAGGATTATTAATTTTAGGCAATGAGATGATGTAGGCCAGTGGTTCCCAAACATGATTGGGCTCCGAGCCACCTATCAAAAACTGCGAAATTCATAAATATTATTACCGCTCAGATTCCCTTATCAGAAGGAAGAAAATATTCGCCGATGCGCAACCACACGACGTGGACCAACTGAGAGTTGGTTTTATAGTACCTATTTTTTTTTCATTTCACATTAATTTGTTATTATCACAAACAACATATACACGGTGATTTTGAAAGCGTTTTGGTAAAGAAAATTTTGAATTATTTATCAGTAACAGAAGCTATATATAACGTTAATTTAATAAAATATATATATTTTTTATCATCAAAGTCGATATTCATATCGTTTACAGAGAAAAAGTGAGAACCAGTAGTAAAGCTATTCAATCACACGCAAGTAAATACTACGAATAGAAATACTATGCGTTTTAATATCGAGTCACATAAAATCGTATTCGCCAATAAAAACAAAGCTACCGAGTTGCGCCGGAGTCGTCCAACCAATGACGTCTGCCCCGTAGGCGCATGCGCGTGACTCACCTGTAATCGTGAGGAGTCCTTCGCTTTCAGTCGGTCAATAATACCATAACATCGTGACGGCACGCTACATTGATTAGTGCTAAAATGAGTCGACAGTACGAATTTTCAAACGTGGAATACTTCTTGGCAATGGTACAGCTGTACGCTACTGCCAACTACAACTTGGAAGAGGCTCGGCGTTTGTATTCCCAGCCGGAGCATTTAAATGCACTACGGCTACGTGGAATTGAAAGCCCTCAAATTCCCTCCACACCTACCATCTTGGCTGCAACCCAACGTCTTCTCGACCACGGACAATTTCGTGCGCCTACTCACGCGCGTCCACTCAAGGTCAAGGACGTTTAAATTATTATTCGCCGGAGTGTAGTGCTTGCATACCTGGACAATGAGTTTAGTGATCGGTGGATAGGTCGAGGAGGGCCAGTGCCTTAGCCACCTAGAAGCCCGGACTTAACGCCCCTGGATTTTTTCTTATAGTCGGAAATAAAGACTTGTTTATACACGGGAATATGAAAGCCGTGATAATTTACGCATTGCGATAGTGGACGCTTTTGATAAAGTGAAAAGTGATAGAGACACATTAAGAAAATTAAAAAACAATTGCATTAAACGTGGACGTTTGTGTATTGAATGCAGCGGACTCCATTTTGAGCAGTTTCTTCGATACAGAGAAGTTTAAATAGTGTAAATAGGTATGTAAGTTAATTATTCTGTAGATAGCTCCGATTTTTTAAATACGCCTGAAATGTTTTATACCTACAGTCCGTTGATAAATTGATTTGTTGTGAAAAGAACAATCGTGGTTAATAATCGAAAAGAAGTTTGAATAAAATAGGTATTTCTAAGCCCGTGTAAAGTATGAAGGACAAATCTGAGTCCATCTACGTAAGTACTCGCTAGCTCGCGCCTATAGGTATACTTTTATCAGCTGCTGTTAGCGTCAGCGGTGCGCAGCGGCCGCCGAAACGCCCACGGACGTGTTTCATTCATATAAGACTAGCTGACCCGGCGAACTCTGTTCCGCCTTAAAGGCAATAAGCCGATTTTCGAATTTGGTAAGTTAATTTATTTCTTAGAAAAAAAAATGAAGTACATTAATCATTTATTACTGTTTCTGCATTTCAGTACATAGGTTGCTCTTCACTTAAGTACCTTGTGATACACGACATTTTTTGTTTTCTTATCAGGCGCAAAAACAAACAACGCAGATGGTCTTCCGACCAATACTCAACGTTGCAATGTGTCTTGAACGTTTTAGAAATAAGTGGCGAATATGGAACAATCCAACTGTTGTCGACAACGAAATCCATTCTTTTCACTTTTGTTGTGACAGTTCCACCGTTGTCATCTGGTGATCGACGCCGATACAAAAAAAATACGGAATAAATAGTATCCTATGTCCGTCTCCTGGCTCTAAGCTACCTCCTCACCAATTTTCAGCCATATCGGTAAAGCCGTTCTTGAGTTATAAATAGTGTAACTAACACGACTTTCTTTTATATATATAGATAATGAATGAATGATCAGTCCATTACTACTTTCCAAGTCGATCGAGTAAAAATGAATATTAAAACTGAAACTTTTTTCAGACAACATTACAATTGATTTAATCATTTTTATTGGTAGTATAGATGATTCAAAATTAAAATGTTTCGTTTCCAAAACGCCTATAAAATCACCGTGTATATATATTGTAATTTAATAACTTTAGTTAGCTCATAAACAATGGGAATTTAAGCGTCACCAATATGGATGAAAGACTGCAAATAATAAAAAACAACTAACTTACAATAGTCTTTTTTCTTAAATACCTACATGTAAAGACTGTTATTTCAAAGGGAATATATAAGCTCTGCTTAGTTTGGGACTAGATGGCGTTGTTTGTATGTGGTAGAATATTATTATTATTATTTGTTTCTTAATTTTTGTCATTACAACTTTAGCATCAATTCTAGTTACTTTTAGTCACAGTAAGTTTGATACATTGTATTTAGGTATTTCGATATTTAGTTTTAATGCTGGTCATGCCTCACATAGATATGAGGTAATGAACTTGAGCAGGACTTTTATAGCTACATCAAACATAGAAGGATAGTTCTCAGCAACTGACAGCCAGAATTTTATTAACTGCTTGAAACTATTTTCAGAGACGTATCTTCTGATAAATCAGTAAGTTATTTACTTGATTTTGTTGACTTATTATTATATTACTTGGTAGGGTGTCCTGAATTAGCTTACAAATCCAATTCAACTTGTCGAGCTTCTTCATTTCTTTCCCGAAATATGGGGTCGCGACCCATACTTAGGGAACTCCTGATGTAGGCTTTGTACCAGAGCGAGGAAGAGGTTTCAGAGTCAAGAAAGAAGTAACGTGGGCCATAACTACGAGGACGTAATCTAGGAAGATAACTATCATCCTACTGCATGCAAACCATTTCGTTACTACAAACAGACAGGATGACCTTTTTTATATGCCCAGAAGGCACAGAAAAAAATTCAAATCGATTTGTATCATTCAAATCGATGAAACTCTGTAAGTTGTTGTCTACCAATATCCAACGTGTCAAGGAACTTCTACTACTAGAGGTATTGCTCTTCAGTGATGCTCAAGGGGCCAAGAGCCTTTGATATTAATTTCTTGATACTGTCTCATTTCAATGCCGATGTTGAGTTGAGAGACTATAGATAGTTATAAGCAGAGGAATAGAATGAAGTTGAATCTTTAATCTGCTATGTTAAGAATGTGCTGTAGTTTGAAGTTGGAAGGAGAATGCTGCAACAAATATGAAATTCCAATTAACGTTGTAAAACAAATCGGTACCAAAGAATCGTATGAATCGGGAACCGACGATGATGGTGCTGACAAAAACGATTTATGACGATGAGCTATGGCCTATTTTTTAGTGCGGGTCACCGTGCGGGTGCCGGCTCAATCGCGTGATAGATTAACACATGGGGGTAACACATGCGACTTCGACAGCGCCTGAGAATTGCGACCCAGAAGTAGGTTTAGGGAGTACTCCTTGCGACGCGTCAGCGCTCACCTCCACTGTCTGCTGTGTTAAACCCTCCACCTAACGATATTTGATCCGAGCCTAGCAATGTCGCTTTGGATATTCGTTCATGAAAAGCGCTTACTGAAGCTCTTGGCAATCTAAGGTCTTAAGGCAGGTTCTAGAGGGTTTTAGCTGGTATACCCCTCGCACCTACTTCCACGCCATACAATGCCACGAAATAACCATTTTTAGTTATTTCGTTAATTAAGTCAAAGTACTTGTTTTAAAGCGTGTCTTTAGAGATATCCTTGAGGTTTTCTTTGGTAATTACCAAAAAAATAATTAGTGGAAAATTTTGTGCCTATTGCAGTAGGGTTGATTTTCGTTAGTGATTTCTGGTGGTTTTAGATGTTGAATCTGGTGGAGAATTCATTTAACTGTAGGCAACACTGCAGAGTACATCAATATTATTAAGGGGACCAGTCTGCTCGTTTGCCCTCTATCGTAAAAATAATCATTAATTTATACAAAGTATCCATTTTATTCACTGTGACGACATCTGCTGAAGTGCAAGGTCCAAATCCATTCTATTGGAATGTATCAAAGACGAGAACACTAGTTTTCCGATATAGTAAAGTAAACGATTTTTACTGCACTCATACGGAATGTTTAAAAAACCGTCATCACAGAGTACAGAAATATACAGTACGTAATAATTTTAGTTGTTAAGTAAATTGACAACAATGTGTGATAGAAAATAAGTGGACAGGACTGTCATCTATCTTATCTCTGATCCTGATCTCCATACTTTATGAGTTTGACGTTGGGCATTGATCTATAAATCAGCAATAAAGCATAGATAAAACACTTTGAACCATAAAGAAGTACCTATAGAAATAATATGTTAGGAGCTCAAGCCCCAGGATGGATCAATAAAATTTGATGTAGATACCTATTGATTACAAGCGCAGACTGCGCAAAGGGGATTGAATTAAACTAGTGCGTCGCCATTGCTTTAGTCTGAACATTGCCTGCCCAAAGTGTGAACAACGAGAGAAAACTGCAATTTACCGGTACCCAATCTGCACAAATATTGTATTTTTTGTGAAATTCTGTACTTTGATTTTCATAACAAAAATTAGCTGTTCATTGAAATAATTACATAATAAAGTCACAAAGAATCATGGGCGAAATTCAGATTATTCAGGGAATGATAGCGAAAATGGGGTTGCAATATTTTAACCCTGGTACAATCCACAGAGTGGAAGTGACTCATATCAATAATCCAAAAAGCTTTTATGTACAACTTGCATCATTGAGTGAAGATATTATGTTATTAGAAGGTCGAGGGAATCCAATAAATGTTGAAGATATTAAGATTGCAAAACATGTTATTTACAAGTCTAAAACACTCAACAAATATGTTAGAGGTGTCATAGAATGTGTACTTTTTAAGGAAACAAGTGCATCTTGTACCGTTTATGCATTAGACTATGGATGCAGAGATAAACGTGTATCCTCAAAACGCATTTTCCTACCCGAAATGGATATAGATTGCCCTCCTATGGCATTACACTGCCAACTACATTTATGTGAACCCAAAGAATTAGAGTTTGAAGAAGATGTTATAGATGCCATGAAATTTTTCATAGGGAAACATACTGCTAAAATGACCATAATATATAGAGCTGTAGATAAGTTGACAGTGGAATTGAAGACCCTGGAATGTCCAGATGATGTTGCAACTACACTTGGACTATTGAATTTTACTACACTAACATCTTATGATAATGAAGTAAACAGATTTCAGGCTGCTACAAGTAAATCTAAGTTTGTTACATACAAAGCCAAAAATGTAAAAGTTGGTGACAAGTTATGTGTTCGAGTTCAGAGTGGTGACACAGCAGGGGTTTTTATGTTGCAGATATTCGTGATTATGACAGATACATCAAAGACCAACCCTACTTCAACAAATATTGTAGCCTCCAGAACTTGCAAAATGTGTTTGCGGCTCAGATCGATGGTCGCGGCTGTGGTGTTAGAGTAGGCGAGCCGCCCAAATTTGAACGCGCTTATGTGATAAAGGTTACTAAACCAGGTGCCAAGGCATTAGTAAAACTCATTGACTGGGGAAAGGAAATAGAGGTAGATTTTAATGATATAAAATGTGTTAAAGTAGCAGCATACACCGAGCTACCTGCTATTGCAATGTACTGTACATCTACAGAGGATCAGATTTTTGCAGATGGTTTGGATGAGTGCTCTCAATTTCTAATTGAAATTCTTGAGTTGGGAAATGGGAAGGATGTGCCGCATAAAATAACTATGACTCGTATGGACATCCCTAAAGATGAGCAATAAATTTGCTTAAGAGAAAAAAAAAATTTGGAGCTGATAAAAACTTGTTATCTCTCAGAGCAGATTACTTCAGATTCTTCGGAACTTGAAAAATAAAACACTATTATCAGCTGATTCAGGAAATCATTCCATTGTTCATCTGAAACCATGATCATGTGAACTGCTGTGGTTCAGTCTATCACACATGATTGTCTTTATGTACGCAAATACATATCCTTCTACCAATTTAAATATTAAGGTAAAATAATATCATTCCATTGTTGTATGTGTGATTAGTTGATGTTGTCATATTTAACCATACAAATATTAGTAATAATTGACTTAAATGTATTATGTGCACCTTGCAAGTATGTTAAATCCTCCCAAAAAAATGATCATTATTTATATAATTTTCTTAACACATTTGTGCGTTATCTTGAAGATAACTTTTATTGTATCTTTATTCTTACTTTGATATTATATTCCTTCATATTGTAGCATTTTATGCATTCAATGGACTAATTTTATGAATAGTAGAATTGCAAACTACACAGGCTTAAATTTTAGTTTTAAACAATGTGATATATCTGGTACATAAGGTACATAGAAATCGAGGAGGATGAGCCATTATACTTGAATAGACTGAATTCCCTTTAAACGTCATAGTGCACAGCAGAAATCTGCCTAAATTTAAGCCACCCAATTGGGAAAATTTTTCAAAAAGACTGTGGTTAGACTTTGTGCTCAAGTATGTATGGTAGGTTTGTGCTCAAGTATGGTCGCTAAGCGATTAAAAGAGAATCGGAGACAAGGTTACAGAGTTGCTAATTTAACTAAGTTTGCTCTCTAAGGAAAGCTAAAAAAAATTACTGAAGGGTTACTTGCACCAGCTGAACTTGGACACAAAACAAGTGATGTTCTTTAAATTAACAGTACCAATGAATGTGACCCTTTTATTTTTTAAGATTTTAGAAAACTATTCTTAATGTTCTTAATGTTATCTATACTTCAAAATAAATGGTTCAAACCTTAGGCATCTGTGTCCAGATCCTGCTGATTTGACCTCTAAAATGAAAAGAAATTAGTAAGTAATTAATTCATATTAAAAGTGGAAGTATATATTAAGTTGATGCACATCAAGACCAATAATTTAGATTTAGTTTCAGTCAAAGTAGGATATCAAATATATGAAGCAATCAGTTTTGATATCAGTCAATTGATGGACCCAAGATATAAAGCAAATGGGTATTTTTTAATTATTAATTCACAGATCTTAGCATTTAAGTTCGTGCAGACAACTCTAGTATCTAATCTATCTAGTAGACTAACTAGATATTTTAAGTGTATTAATATATTTTAAGTGTTAGGGTAAAAGATTTGGGATATAGGTTGATGCATCATGACAGTGTTTACCTATATACATTGTAACTCTCATGATGGAATGATTTTTATTAATTTTAATCGTAAAACGATTTTAATGTATTTTACTAGTCATCATAAACAAAAAAAACTTTTAATTTTTAAGCATTTTAAGTATTTATTAACTCAACTGTTTGTTGTTGTGTGTGTTCAACAAAATTTTGCATGTGCCAACATAATATTTAATTGTATTCTCGTAAATATCAACATGTATTATCAATAGTGTGTAATCTTATTAATATACCTATAGTAATTAAAACTTCTATGTTTTATCGTAAATACGATCTTAAATTCTCAGTAGCATGTAAGCTTATTAATATATAGTAATTAAAACCTCTGTGTTTCATTAGTTTTTCGCTACCACTACCACTTACCATTTTAGTAGGGATATTAAAAAATTATTTATTTATTAATTTTAAGCTTTATGCACTTTGTACGTCGGCGGACTTAATGCCCAGGGCATTCTCTTCTAGTCGACAACCTTTGGGTGGTGTAGAAATCTTGTAAGGTAGTGTGCACTGAGGTTACATATTATGTAATGAATAAAAATATACACTGTTAACTACATACATAAACTAATACATACTGAAATACACACGGCGAGCAAGTTATGCTTGCGAAGGAGATGGCGGAGCGGGAACGAAAGAGATTTAGAACTCGCTCGATCCGCCAGGCTCGGGAACGGGCCAGGTACCGCTGACGACTCAGGCGCCGAAGGTCGCAGAACGACCTCCGTCCTCCACAAGCGCAGGCCTGGGGGTGACGGGTGAGGACATCTGTCACCTGCAGGTGAGGTTAGCAGAAGCAGGCCCGGGATGGGTAGTTAGTGCGAAGCGCTATGGAGGCGCCCACCCCTTCGGACTCTTCGGGGTCAGGAAGGGAATATCGGGTTTTCACACAGGAGGAGGGTTATCTGTAAGCCGCAGTACTGAGTTGTAAACGATCAACAACAAATTTTTGTATTATTTTGGCAGTTTTAACTACGCTCATTAATTAGATTTTTGTAATAAAAAATTATCAATTCTTGTCGTTATAAAAATAATAAAGTACCTACCAAGGCAAAATTTGCAGACATTATGTTAGCGTTATATACTTTGTGTTGTTTTTTTCTTCCTACATATTAAATACACAAATCGAAATTTCGTGCCTAAATTTAAGATTAATTTGATTTGACTGGCTTGTGACTACCTGAGTTGCAGGTGTTTATGGACGACGGTAGTCACTTTCCATCAGGTGACCCGTCTGCTCGTTTGCCCCTCTTCCATAAATAAAATTATCGCTACTATCTATTAATAACTATTTTGCACTTTTCAAAAAATACAGTTGTTGAAATTTCGGTTTTAAACAACATTTCTTACCTATAAATAACTTTTCAGTTGACAACAGAAATTATTTATATACATTCATTGTTAATTAGTATCAGCCTGGGACTTTATAGAACTGAGCAGTGATTGTTATCCAAATTATTATTATTTTTTACTTATAATAAACAAAAATTCATTTAGATAAAAGTTGTCGCCAAATATCAGAATTTGTCGGTCACAGGTTCAAAAGTTATAAGCGTTTATTGGAAGCCCTGCTGGGGTCAGTCTCCCCAGCAGGGCCACGTTTGTATATCAAAAACTTTGGCACCTAGCGAAGATCTGCTTTCTCCCGAATTTAGTCGCTTTGTCGAAATCAGTCGCCATATATCAGAACATGTCAGTCAGTCACACAGCTTGGCCACATTTATATCTCAAAAAGTAGGGCACCAAGCGAAAATGTATTTTCGCCCAAATTTATAAATCATTCGCAATTTTTCGCACATTTTTTTTTTGTCACAGATTTACTCGGGTCTTAGTTTAGAAGACATATCAATGTTTAAGGAGGGTATAGTCTAAGAGCTAGATCGCGGATTTTACGAAAAATTGCCAAGACAAAAATATTTCTATTAGTATGTGTAATGTAGTTCTAGTCTTATCGGTCTGAAGTCCTTAGAATCAGAGATTAAATAAATTCTCACTTAAATACAATATGTTTTTTAGGTTTTAAATGACTAGGTTGGCCACAAGTTCCGCGTGGTATTATATTTCCATCCAGTCCATGATAAGCAGTGAGAATTGTACTAATGTTTACTGTTTTGTTTATTATGTTTAATGCATATGCCTTCCTAGCCATATCCTTACTCACATAGTCCATCCAGCTTTTTTTTACTCTTCTCTTGTACCCTTCAACTCCCATACCTAACACTTTCTTGGCCACATTTTTCCTCATCACTCCGCATGACATGTTCTATTCTAAGATAACCTATTACTTTTTAAATTTTCATCCAGTGACGCTAGTTTCAGACTCCCTAGTATAGTCATTCCTAAACCTGTCCATCCGAGTCACACCACTCTTTCATCTCAGCATTCGTATTTCAACTACGTTCAGGCGTCTCTCTCATCCGTTCTCATAATGGGCCAACTTTCAGAATCATACAGGATGGCAGGTTTGATAATAATTTTATAAATTTCTCCTTTCAGTGTTAAGGAGAAACTAAGGTCACAAATTTTTCCTATACCTGCCGCCACTTCATCATCCAGCTATTTAGTTCGATCGATCTCATCAATCACATTGCAAGAGGGAGACCGAGTTACTTGAAACTGGAGCAGACTGTTATCGCTAACCCATCCAGCGAAATGGTTTCAGGACTGGGAGACCGTGGAAATCGCTTAGTCGACCCTTTAATGTAAATATCACGGTAGGCATGTAATATACTCTTCCCTATAATCAATATTTTTGTTAACTCTTTTCATACAAACGAATTGTAGAAAATTAATAGTTACATATTCACATAATTGGTAAGAATAATATGTATATACATGAAAGTTTGAACAACTTTATTTGGTAACAGAGAGCTTAATAAAACAAAATAATTTTATAAAAGATACAATAGAACTAAAAACATCCAACGATGAGCGACTCGAATCGTCGATAGCACAAAGGCCTTCGATTGGCTGGATCCCTTAGCTTTACGTAGAGATGTAGCTTCACTCTGCATTCTCTCTCTATCGTACATATCATGGAAAATGTACGGACTAATACCGGCCATCGTTCGGCATACAAAAACTTTCCGCCATCGTTCCACACGGCAAAATTTCATCACCCTCACTTGGATAATAGGCGCTCCACCACTGTGCACTTTCGAAACACTTTTTGCCTCGCACAACCAATTTGGGGAATAGGTAATCGTCTGTGGTATTTCCAGGCCGATACGACCTTCAATAAAAGATCGTACTCCTTCCTAAAAGGCCGGCAAACGCCGTAAGTTGCAGGCGTTCATGGATGGCGGTAGTCACTTTCCATTAGGTGACGCGTCTGCTAGTCTGCCCCCTCTTCCATAAAACAATCCAGTTTTTTCTAATTATGTTACATTATTACAAATTTTTTTTTTTGGTAAAGATTGATTTTCAAGTGGTTTACTTGAAGCCTGAGTTTATTACCTTCACCTATTTAACGGTTTTGTCACTGTAAAGCTACAAAATATGATTTATTAATTACGACAAAAACTAGACCATCCCACAAAAACTAGACCACCAAACACATAACAATTATCAAATACATTACTACATTATTAAAAAATTAACAAACATTATCATGTTATTCAACTTCAATTTATATTCCTTAAGTTGGTTTGAAGGCTTCCTTAAAAATAACGTAACATTTTACTCATATGGTTGAACTTGAACACAGCTATAATTTTTCAATTTACACAGTAAATTTAATTAAATACCAGTCTAATATCTCTTAATCTATAGTCCATTCGAGTTCAAGAAAATAGTGACGCATAAATCAAGCCCCGCATCCTAGCCAGTCAAGTTCCAAGAAATATATGTTCGTACGAAAGCTTTGGATCTGATTAGTCAAGGTCTAATCGATACATCACTATTTTCTCAACGCGAATGGACTACAATTCATTTATTTGATTTTCATCATCATTTTGACGACCGAATGGCGTAGTGGTTTGTGTAACGGGACTGCTATTCCAAAGGTCGCGGGTTCGATTCCCGCTCAAGTCAAGCATTTGTGTGCAATGAACATTTAATGTTTGATTTGGTCTGGGTGTTTCTATGTATAATATGTATGTATTTACAAAAAAAAAGTATATATGTATTTATATCAGTTGTCTAGTACCCATAGGTACAAGCTCTGCTTAGTTTGGGACTAGATGGCGTTGTGTGAATGTAGTAGAATATTATTATTATTATTTGAAGCTACTTGTTACATTTAATTTGAGCTTATGAGCAAAATAAGATCAAAGTAAATGTAAGACAATGAAACATATTGTTTTGAAATCAGAACAGTCGGTCAAAAATTATATATTTTGGTAATAGCAGTCTGGAGATAAACCGATCTGACTAATAATGGCATTCCAACCGCCGGACTGTTTGAGTGCTCTTTTAATGATACATTTACGAGTAAACCTGTTGTGGAAGAGGGACAACGGTCACACAGTCTACCCTTGTGATTGTTGCTGGTATGATCTTGATCATTTTCAAAGGGAAGCCATGGGACGACAGCTTGAAGAGAAGAAGAGCTATATATGGATAACATTGTCACAAGTCCTGCTTGGCTCCTGAAGTATTATAGCTTGCAAACGAAGCAAATATTGTGACATATTCTTCACATCTCACTCAAGTCTTACAAGCTCTAGTGGGTAATTAAAAGCTATGAAGACAAAGCGTCTGCCTCTTGGACAAGCCTTGGTAAATAAACCAGGCGAAAAGTCGATTAGGATGTTTATGTTTCTCAATAGAAGACACAGGTGCTAGAGAAAGGTGATCGATAGCTAAGATGAATTTAGCTGCCAAAGCAAATCATCCACCGCAAACGGAAGAAAAACAAAACCAAGCTCTACTCAAGCTTTGCAAGGTAAATTGTAGATTTCTAAAGCAAAGATATGTAAACCATGCAAGAGGTGCTTTTTTCTATTCTATTGATCAAAGTTCTTAATTATATGAAACCAAAGAACCCCCGCTGAGTTAATCATTGTGGAAGCTACGCATTTGTAGCACGGAGTGAGCCTGGCCAGATTTAAAAGAATTTAACAGAAAAATTAAACTCTTTGACCAAAAATCCAAACTATCGTCGTGATAACTGGATAGTAGAAAAATAACTTCAAAGTGGTTTGTCTATCGGGCAAAGACAGTTGACAATGCTAAGGAAAGAGATGGCAGCATAGCGTCGACCAAAGTGAAATGATAAGGAGGATGGAGATGTGCTATAGATAGCTCTCTCTAAACTTGCTAGCAATACGGTCCAAGAGACAAGTCCCATTAGATATTTCGAACTTAGAAAGTCGAATCAGTGTCTACTACACCGCAGAATCTTTTCGTCCTAAAGTTCATTGGTGCCCAAATACAAGTTTTTGATCAGTACGAGTATGTGTTCCGGTGATAACATATGGATCTAAAACGTGGTCGCTCAGTATGACCTTAATAAACAAGCTTTAGGGAGTGAAGACCACGGTACGGCACGGTGATGGACGGCCACCAACAAGGTGGGAAGATGTATACGAAGAAAATTCCAATGGTGTTCTCAGCAGTCATTGAGGAAGACCCATGTCCAACAGTGGACATCATATGGCTATATTTTATATTAATTTATAAGACTAATTCTTGTCAGTTTACAGTAAATTCGTAAACTTATGTTGAGAAGATTATCACAAAAACTGAAATCAATATTAATAATAATATTGCAAACATTTTACACTTTACTACATTCATTTACAATACATATCAAGATAACCATCATGGTTATTGCATTACAACACCAAATAACTTTAATATAGTATGTAACAATTCAATATAATAATTGTATCAATATTTAACAATAATTGTTATATTGTACTTGTATTTTTTAATCACTTTAAAAAATGTGTCGGGACCTTCCTTCTCATAAACAATTAATTGATGTTTTTCGTTTCTTCTTATTATTTTATTCTACATCGGTTTTTAAGTCTCATAACAACATTCTGCAAAAGTCACCTATTTTGTTGGTGGTTACATTTTCCGCAACAAAAACAAAAGTCCTTATTTCTCATGTCCATTTTAAATCAAAATGGGTGTTGTCAACATCTTAATCAGATGACATTAAATTAACATGTAATTAAAATAAAATCATTTTTTAATACTACGTACACCAAACATTCTCTCATTTTAATTAACAGAGCAGTAAACATGAAATTAAATGGACAAAGATTAATGAAATATTAATGAATAATTTGCGATAGCTTTACTCTTCAATGTGAATCAACGTTGTATTCTCAACGAATATTGTGTCTGCTTTACGTATCTTGGAAGGCGGTAGGCAGAATGGTGGCGGATGCGACCAAAAACCATTTTCTGTGCACACTATGGATGACTCTCCAACGATCTCATATCCATCTTTACAGGTGTATATCATGAGATCTCCCACTGAGTACTTGCCGTCTTTGATGGAAGGCTCTGATAGTAAACGTCCATTGTCAGGTATGAGCGGATCCGGGCAGTAGATTTGCTGTTAATAATAATGTTGTGAGATAAATAATAGCTTGGAGATACAGAACTAACAATGAATATAAATTATGCGAGCTACCTTCAACCTACTTTCTTACACACGCTCGACTTAATGTAGTGTGTGTAATATACTACACTTATTACTGAGCCATACATCGATTTGTTTCTGAACTGTTCCCAGCTTGAATTGGTGAACTTTATAAAACGCTATGTTAAATTTACGTGATATGTTAACAATTCTCACATACCCTTAATTTATCCTTCAATGAAGTGGTTTATATATATTTTTTAGTTAATGTTTGCTCTTAACCTATCTAAGTGTGATAATATAGGTTTTTACATCTCAACGGATCCAAGATCAGGGTAAATTTGTGTATTTACACATAAGTATATATGTGTACGTATGAAACCGTGTATGTTATGTATTAAAGTTTCTTTTTGAGTTAATCATTTTGTATACAATCAGTATGTATGACATGTAAAAATGTTATGCAACTTACATTTCAAATAACGATGTTGTAATAGCAAGAGTAGATAATTCAGGAGAAATATATACTATGCAACTAACACTGCGTTTGTTAAACTTACGTATGCAATGTGGCACTTCCCCAGACCACGTGCCGTCCATTTCACACTCTAGTCCCGGAGGTCCAATAAGTCGATATCCCCATGCACACTGGAACACAGCCCGGCCACCGAAGGAAGAGTTATACTCAACCACGCTGAGGTGGGGGCCTAACGTCTTTAGCGTAGAGCAGAGTGTTTCCTCGCATGTCGGTGGCAAGGCTGACCATTGACCTGAAATTTATATTAGATAAGATAAATATAGGTCGAATTTCAGTATATTGTATAGCCAAGTCGTAGGTGCGATGCCCACTCCGGGCTAAAAATTTCGTGACGTGCATTTCGTTTGTTGTGTCTTGGTATAATTTTTTTATAATATCATAACCCTGAGTCATAGTTGTGGGGAAGGCAGGCTACGGTACATGTGATTATATTAATTTTTTAATAGGTACTATCGCCTGTTTTTCGGGAGCGTTGTCCCTAATACTGTGTATCTTTAACATTTGTGGATATAACTGGGCAAATTTGGAAATATAGTATTATGCTTTCACACTTTCTTTCAGAAAAATACTGTTCCCAAGAGAAACTTGAGCCGATCGCAAAAAAACCCCCTAAAATTTTATTAATAAAATTTAAAAAATTTAAGTATAAAAGATATTCCCCAATGTGAAAAATAGAGAAACTCGTAGGATCGTAGAGCGAAAGGACCCCCTTTCGGTTTTAAAATTTCAGTAAAAATTTGTCCTAAAAAGTGCCAAATTAGGGAAGTAGCCTTCTTTCCCATGTTGGTAAGAGAAAAATATTTAAAATTGTACGTCCCCCATACAAGGGGAGTATAGGGGAAACCCCTTTGAGGGGGAAACCCCGGTTGGCAGTAAAGTGGCGGATTTGCGAGAGGGTTCCCTTGTGTAAACGGGAGGGGATGGCTTTTAGACGTAACGATACCCGGGCGGAAAACTACGTCTGAAAATACAAAAAAATTTTATAAATTTTGTCCAAAATTTAAATTAGAAAGGGCCCCAACGGGTGGAGGCATTTCATCATTCCGGCAGCTCTACTTTAGGCAAAAATACTGTACCCGAAATATTTTCGACTATAACACTTAAGCTTTTTTAAGTTTGAGGTGTGTCACGTAGCTTTAAGTGCAACAGGAAGTGATGTGTTGTAAAATCCTGTAGTTACAGCAATGTGCTAAAATGGTCGGTCGAATGATATTTTATATCTCTATGTACACCAGAAACAAAGATAAACTCGTGTTGCCAACGACTATACTACAAAAAATAAACAAGTCCTTTCGATGTCAGGGTGTGCGATTCTACAATAAATTCTAAGCAAATTTCATGAATTAAGTAACAATTTAAGTCCTTAATAAAACAAAAACTATGTGAAAGTGCTTACTACACGGTTATAGATTATTTAGATGACAAATTTTGCTTTGGATTGATGCTGCTCACTCCAACATTTGAAAGTGATGGACATTTTAATTTTCTGTTGTAATTCTGCTTTTTTGAAATTGAAATCTATAGTTTTTTTTTCAGTAAGTATGTAAATATAAGCATAGTGTAGGCTTGTAATGTTAGTTCATATTTTAGCAACTTTCTGGTGGTTTTGAGTGTTTCCACGGCCTACTCAAGTATCCTGCTGGCGGTAGTGCTCGTGTTCTGGGTTGTTGATTCACAGTGTTTTAGAGTTTTGTTTCACAGTCAGTTTGTATGTGATCTAGTATAATGATGATATTGTCACGAAAATTCTAGAAAGAAGGAGGAAATTCATTTAACCGGCGCAATTCAATTTTATTAAGAGTTTTAATAATAATGCAGGGCGACACGGAATAATAAGTTTTTATACCGATACGCTCGAGATAATAAGATCGCGAATAGGTTGCCACATGATAATCTTTGTCTATATCTAACACCTACTCGTATTTCTTAGAAAACGAAAGTTCCATTAAGATTCGAATTAGCTGGAATGAAGTTTCTAGCGTTTCCATACTCCCCGGCCTCTCGACCGAGTGATCGCAGTCGACGCGCGCGCCCACCAATGCAGAGGGCAAACAAGCGCAACAGTGCTGATATAATTGTGGGTGACCGCAGCTAAACTCCCACGGAGTTGGTTTTTCAGCGGTGAATTATGTTGTGCTTGTTGCACTTGAGGACACTACACCACCGCGCCGCCCCAGCTTCGGCCCGAACAAACATGTAGGGGTCGCCTCGCCGCCATACTACCGCTCCCGCGGCGCCCATGCCCAAGTGGAGATACCCGCCGCTCATAGAGGAGCACCTGCCAAACTGGACAACCATATGTCGGCTAATCAGGACGGTCAATGCCCGCCCCTTTAGAAGGGGCATACGCTAGAAGAGGTGGAGCAGGAGCTACGACCCCTAGTTATGTGCAAACATACGGGGTCGCGGCGACCGACCCATTGACCGATCGATGCATTGAGGACACCGATGATTTACGAAGACATCACAGCGGATTTGCGAAGTGGAGGAGATGCTGGGAATCCCCGGGTGTCAAAATTAAAAGCCTGGCGGGGCAAGAAGAGGTCGCGCAAACCACCGCTGCCAAAAGTTCAGGCACTCGAGCCACCACTGCAGTCAGGCATGTAAGGCGGCTGTAAGCACCCTGCTGCGAGCTGCCCCGAGGCCGCTAGAAGAGCCGCCACGTGCACAAACTGCGGGGGAGAGCACCCGGCCAATAACACTCACTGCCCGCCCTGTCTTTCAACATGAACAGCGGAAAAGGAAGGTCAACCGGCGGCAGGCCCCCCTTCCGCCGCTCAGCCTGTCATCATCCAAGTCTCCGCCACGCAGACCGCAACGCAACGGTGCGAAGCACCAAAGGACAAGAGGCACCAGAGGCGTTGCACGTAAGTCGCTACCTCTGTCGCTGGTCGCTCCACAGGTTGGTCTCATCTGGTTCGGGCTCGACCGCCGGGGCGGCGTGACATTGTGAAGGCCGAGTGTGCCGGAGGACAGTTCAGTTCGAGCTACAGTGCGATAAAATCAAAGCGAATAGAAGTGTGACCGCGACCTCAGCTATCACTTTGGACTATTCAGTGTTGTTGAACGTTTTTAAGTTGTAGTGATAATAAAGTCCCTCCAGTCGTCAAAGGTCTATTTTTATGGTACAGAGGACAAACGACAAACAGGTCATCTGATGGAAAGTGACCATCGCCGCAAAAAGTGTCTCAAAAAAAGCGCCACTATAGTGGAGCGCATACTATCCAGGTGATGGGGTGAAAATTTTGAAATGTGGAAAGATGGCCGGAAGGTGGCCGGTCGGGTGTTTAGTCCTCGGAACACTCTCCATTGATATAAACGACAGAGAATGCAGAGTGAAGCTACAACTCTACTTAACGCCAAGGGATCGAGCCGATGGGAGATGATTGGGGTATTGACGATTCTTATAGAGCTGAAGGCAGTGGGCCGGACTGCCAGAGCTTCCGAGCTTCTACGAGGCCAATTTGACCTTACCTTCTAAGGACCCCCGAAACTTGGGACTTTGCTCGATTTGTCGATGCCTAGGATTCCGTTACTTGGCTCAGGCAATTAGGGAGGTGCTACTCAAACTGAGGTGATACGAACAAATGGTATCTTCTTATGCGGTGAACTCACAGACCAGTGCCTTTTTTGGGTTGAAGAGGACCAGATTATTTTCGTCATTTTTCGTCAATTATTATAGTCGTTTTTTTTTTCATCTTTTCTATTCTCTATTATCGCAGTCAACAAAAAAAAACACGTAGCATATCTCGATCACACGTCGTCAGACAATCACAAGTCAATGTAGTTAATTTAAATTGAATAATACGGACTCGGAATGGTTAGTTTCATTTCATTCAATGAGATTATTACGTACTAAGTTTTACGTTTTGATACTTTACCATTAATTCAATGTGTAAAATAGGTGAAGATTTTTTACAAACATAACGGAATAATAGATTTTTCAGAGAAATATTTGGGTAAAATATTTTCCTAACGGGAACAAGGGACTGTTGTCTTGTTATGTGGTGCTTAGGAAATCGCAAAATAAAGGGTACATGATTCGAAAAAATGAGAAAAATGACAGCAAGACTACATTAACAGGACTGATTACCTAGGATCGTAAAAGTTCTCTTAAGAAACAAGGAAATGACTTAGAACTAGTTTAAATTAGTTAGAATCGTGGTAAAGATGTTACAAAAAGATGTTTTTTTAGTACTAAAATATTTTCAAAATCGCGCAATTTAATGTACGTGCCCAGAAAACTCGAGTATTTATATTAACTATGATCTTCATCAGCATCTTTGTTCTTGTTGCGAGTTGTCGAAAAGACATAGAATAGAATAGAATAATCTTATTGTACAACCTAATCATGATATTACATACAATAGTTCAGGATACCAGGACCATGTACAAATAGTAAGGTTTTGTACCAAAAAAGTATCAATAAATAGTTATATAAAAAAATATTAACACTGATTTAAATTATGCCCCACGATATAAAAGGAGTATAGCAAGGCGTTGCTTCTAAATTTAAAACAAAATGATACCGAAACACCTTCATTTAAATTTGATTTGGGTTACGTCCGTCATATAACAGTGTGCTAAAGTAATCCACAAAATGAAAATAACAGACAACACGGCTCAATATACGTCGGTTAAAATTAAAAATAAAGCAAAAGAAATACAGAAAACAAATTTAGAACAAATAAATACATAAAATAATGCGAATTAGAAACGGCATTGTTATACAATGAGTCGGGATGTACACGGCAGAGTCGCAATGTCGCGACATCCAACGCGACGCCGCCGCCGTGACGCGACGCGACTTTACATTTTATTACCTGCCTAAAATCACTTTACTTTTTAAATTCTATTTATTAAAAATACTATTTTATTCACGTGTTTATGCGGGAATGCCCGACTAGCTTCGGACCCGGCAGTACGTGTCGTCCTGAAAAAAGTAGTACTTTGGTTCTTGTCTCGTTAATCTTGTCTCCTTACAAAAAATCGCCAGACAGTCTGTAGGACAACACGATTGCTTCCATACCTCGTTGTCCGTAAGCTAAAGGTGCGTTTTGATAGAGTTCCCGATTAACATATCATGTCGGATACTCCGCCGCCTGTGAAGGTCACCGCCGGGTAGGATGTGAAAGACTCTCAGTTTAACAAACACTGCACTGCACACCAAACCTAATATTCTCCACTAGTACCGCTAGTTCACCACTACGCAAGAAAATGAGAAAAAATAAACGGATTCGGATGAACCAGAAAAGGAGACAAAAAGAAACCTTTTTTTTACCCCATTTGGAAAGAACCTCAGGCCAGCACAAGGAGGCGTCTGGTTGAGAAGGGTTGATTGCATCCCCCATATGGTCCTAAACCGTGTCTCTGACACATGATTTTCAAAACTGATCGATCTTCTTCAGGATTTCTGGTGAGACGACTGAGACAAAAAGTAGTTTGTTGTCTCAGCGAAAAGATGACAGCAAGTTAACAAAACAAAATGGCTCCTATAGATATAAGTATTAAATATACCTAATTGAAACTTAAAAAAATATGTTGAATACAAAATACAAAGAACCTTTTTCTGGCTCTATATTACATACTATATGAACTGATGACAGTATGTGGTGCGGTCAGATGTTGCACGTTATAATTTATGTGAGTAATGTACCTAGACAAACAGGTAACAACTACAGCATAGACGCTAAGACCCTAGGATAGGGATTAATACAATACCTGAATGTCAGTGGCAGAAGTTGCTTCGTGGTATAGTGGCCAAAAACATCCTTCTAAGGAGAGGCCTAAGTACAGCAGTGGACTATGATAGCTGTTGATGTGATGTTGTGGAGGTGTGCATAGTTGCAGCTCACATTTATATTTAGTGGTAGTAACATAAGACTCACTAACAACACTGTAATGATCACGGTGTTGGTGTGTCCGCCCTGCGATGTGAATGGTGTATGGTCGCTGTGTCGCACCGACGTCCGTCAACGTTAGTCTGTAGTGCGTCTCTTCTCCGCCTTCCTCGGGAACCACGCTGTAGAGAAAGAAAAATTATTGCATATTATATGAAAGTTATTTGAGAGATGGCTTTTAACCCTTTTTAACTGATCGCCGAAAAAAGGAGGAGGTTTTATATTTGGATGTTTTTTCATGTTTGTTATGCTTAATCTGCAGAAACCGACTGTATGTATCATATTTTAAAAACATTTTAACCGCCAAGCCTATACATTCTGAGTTTGCACATTATTGTTAAGAATAAACTCGAGCTATTTTAACAATCGTTAAAATGCATAAGACCTAAGGACAAATGCAAAATAGTTGCTAGCAAGAAACACACACACAGTTACACAAATATATTCTGTTCAGTCTTCGCGTAAATACAAAACAATATTCCGACGAGATATCAGGAAGATTAAAGAAACTTACTATGTTAAAAAGAAAAACGACATGACTTGTTGCTAAATAAATATTATTATACAGTTAAAGATGGACATTGACCGGACAGGTCTCGCTCCATACTCTATACCCAGTAGTGTCAGTGGAGGTGTCAGTGTTCTCTACTCTTACTATTGTATGTCTACATATTATTTGCCTGTTTACAAATTCTATAACCAAGTGATTCATTATTGACATAACAAATTGCTATATTTATGTAACACCGATATTCTAATAATTTACCTATATCTATGTATGGCCCAATGAGAGGGACTAAAATACCGATAACTATATCATTATATAATATACCTATGATTACACTAAAGATTACTATACTATGTTGGTTACCACAGAAGTCCGTCATTTATGTCCGTTCATATATATATAGATCTTAAATATTTTTAAGTTTACTCTCCGTTTGAGTCCTATTCTTTAGAAAAAATCTTACTCTAATGAGAGGAAAATTAACGAAGTGCAGAATACAATTTATTCAATTGTGATAACGCTATGAGACATCGACGATGCCATAGTCGGAGACTCCTTAAAGTTAAAATGTTGAACACGAAACAATGAGACATTGTATCTTTTATAGACCGCGTCGCAACAGCAGCAATCGGTTCGACGGCAGTTTTTGTAAATAGATCTTGCAATAAGACATTGTTATGTAAAGTAACTCGTTTGAGCGATTTTTTAATAATTCGCCTATAGCATATTTCGGAGAATTGTACAATGGAAGGGAGATTGGGACATTATGGCAAGTGTGGTACCCAATGGATAATACAAAGAATTGAGAAGCAGCTATCAAAGATTCGCTAGTTAGTTTCAGACGCAGAGTGGCACACTGAGTTCGTTTTAGTGCGGTTCCGAAATTTTTTTTTTTTTTCCGACAACCACCCCTCCGCCGTAATCACCGTGGAGTGACGCCGAGAGGGCCGTCACTCCACCGGCCCGACACGTAAAAAAAGGATTGCTAGTTACGAGCTTATTGTGCTTACCTATACGATATGATGAAGCTTTATTAATGTTACGTGTCAATAAAATCGATTAAGGTTGTTATTTCAACATCCACGGCAAGCACCGACTTTTTATAAGTACGCAAGAATCGCTTTCTTATATCTACGCAAGCCACGACTTTCGTATATATACGCAAGCATCGGCCTTTCATTTATATCTACGCGAGCACCGACTTTATTATATCGTCGCTGTCGCCCGCTGATATGGACGCGCTAAGAACATAATTAATAGAACTATAGCCAATCGGGTAATGCAGCTATCTCTACTACACTTTCTTTCTGTCTAGTAGAAAAGAAGAATATGAAGATTTATACTGACTTACCGTCAGATATTATCTGAATTTAACCTAACTTAATTTTTAGGAGTTAACTAATTGATAGTACATTAAAATGGAACAATAAACAGCAGGCTTTGTGTAATCAAAATCAGGAGATCCGCATTTATTACTCTTTTTACACTTGCACTAGTGTAAATATTGATGCACATACTTACAGCCTGTCAGGGAACTACTGAGTCATATTTAAATAATAATTATTTGGGCCAAACTCCACAAAGATGTAGTTTTAAAGCCTAAAAAAAGATGTATTCGAGCAGGTTTCGTAATAAATAGTAGCGAGAGTGTAACCATCCTTTGTAAGGCACGGTATCTTAACTTTCCGGATCTATATATATTTGAAACAGAACTTTTACAAAATGAAACCTGAATTATTTGAGACTTTGGCAAGACACGTTACACGAAAACTAGAATAGCAAATACACGCGATAGGCTTCTGCTTACATAAAGCAAATACAGCTTTAAAACCATAAAAGGCATCTTTGCATGCGCGCCAGAAATATATAACAGGTAACACGCAGACACATTTTTTAATAAGGGAAGGCGTTAAGGTAGAGCCAAAAAGGGACATGTGTAAATAAAAATGTATAACACGTTTGTACACCTTGATAGCAAACTAAAGAATTATGAAATAGAAAAAGAGAGATCGCAGGTAAGAGACTTGAGAAAATATATGATAACTACCTAAAATATATGAGAAAAAATATAAAAATACTAGCTACCCCCAACAGAATTTCATTCTGCCAAAATAATGGCCTTGTAGCAGTACAATACAAATATAACATTACCCAAGTATTGCCAGGAGTGGATCACTTTTCTTTGAACTTTACTTTGGACCGCCATATCCAGAAGCCTAATCACTAGTTTGAAGAGTATGTCTTCAAACTGATTAGAATCTGTATGGATAGAGATGAGAGATAATCCTCAACGGTTCTTGTTTATTTTCTTTGACGTCAAATATTGTCAATAGTTACATAAGAACCTTAATTGCTTCGAGACAATGGCGAGACGTTTTCGAGTTTTGCGCTCAGCAACACATTTGGTCTAGTATTTATATAGATGTAAGATGTTATTACCAGAACTATGATGTCCCAACGCTTGCGTTCTCAACTCCAATCCGCGGTGTTCGCCGAGCGCACGTGGCGTAAACAGTGTCCAGCCCACATGGTGCTGGTCCGGGTACACGTAGAGATCGCCCGTGAAGGTCTGATTCCACAATGATGACCCCAATCACAATCGTTAGTGAATCGTTGGCGGGCATCACTGAAATCAAACTATTACCACTATAGATAAAAAGCATAGAGCACAGAAATAAAAATGTGATTTTATGAAAAAATAGGAAAAATCTAGGGATTTCACTACTCAAAATCCATATTATTCATTATTTTGATTATTTTTTAATAAATAATACATCATCATCATCAACAGCCTATAATAGGCCAATGCGGACTATTATATGTTGTATGTTATAATATTTTCTTATATGTTTACTGCACGGATGGCGCCCAGTGGTTTCAAGGGGTTGCACACCGCTTCTTCGCCACCCCTTGCCACCCACAACCGACACTTTGTGTTATCCACAAATTGTTGTTCTGAGTTTGGGTTTTCTTTGTGTCCGTTTTCATGTTCTTTGAAAGTCTCCGCAATAATTTTTCAAATGCGGTAGTTGTATTTTACAAAAACAAACCCGCAAAAACGATTAAGATAATACTCTAAAGAATATGTCGTTTAGACTTATTTCATATATTAAATTATTATATAAGATACATTTCAAGCTAAACATAAAAATCCAATTTCTTACGATTATATAAAATATAGCTTGTATGTTAAGATAGGAATGTAAAGAATAATCTGGACTTCATGGTGTGTGATCGTTTATTGAATTATGTGACAACGCGATATCGAATCTTAAGATGAACAATATTATTAGTCTACTTCTCGTATGTAAGGCGAATTTACAAAAACGAAATTTTGTCACCTGTAATTTAGTAACGATATGGTCGGTACACACTAGGGCCACTTCGGCGTCCACTCACCGTTTTCACAACGCGTATATGCACCTTTCATCTTGTACAAGCGAAGTGCTTTACAACGGGTACAATATCACCGAACCATGGGGGAAAATGGGTATTTGTCTTTGGTTTTCTAAAAATTAGAAAAACAAAAATTATTAATGCAATATAATTAATACGTTATGTCTCCAACGAGAGCTAAAAACATGAAAGTAAGATCAGAGCTAAAAAATAACTAATTAAGATGGTATTCAAAGCGAAACAACAGGCGCAGACAGTCATTTATTCAAAAAATAATAAGTCTTGTTTTTCATTCTGCAACTGCAATATATATACGAGTATATATATATAAATAATTAAAAAACAGTAGTACAGTTATTCAGTTTCTTTAAAGGACTTGCTGGGTTGTTAGAAAAACATGTTAGACGAAAGGGAATGGGAAAAAATAGGATTGCGATGGTCGAGGTAGGTCTGTTTATTTGACTAACTGATTCATTAATTAGGCAGTTTCTGATATATGTAACACTAATTTTTTAATGTTTAATAACATCAAAGTGATACTCACATCAATAGCGAATTCTTAAAAGATATTGCCAACAATGGTGAATCGTTCCGATACAAACATTCTCGTAATATAGGTTGAAATCTGCCATCTGTGAACAAAGGTTTTCCCGGCTTATATAGGACTGTTTTTTGAAATATATGTGTATTATGACTCAGAGGGTGGCGGATACAGAGGAAACATGTTTGAATCTAACATACAGAGATTTTGGAACGAAGTTCCTTATCGCGCGTTACACACTCTGAGCGAATGGGAGCGGGACCGAAAAATGTGTAACAAGCTTTTTTCCGACACTTCAATTTTGGTGCATCGACGCTCACATCTTTTTCATATTTCATATATATAGCAAACGTCTACCAAAAACGAAAGGCACTTCGTTACGACCGGGGGTCCATCGACCCCTGGCGCCGTTTTTTAATTTCCTTTTTTTCCTTTTGACTTTAAGTAATGGATTTTTAATCAGACTTTTTCCATGGTATGGAATCTAACGATTAGTTTTATGTTTTTCAATGCAGCTCCAATAGTGTCTATGTAATTTCATAAAAAATTAAATTTAGGTAAACAATAAGATGCTTTCCCTCTGAAAACTTGTAAAACTATTCAGCAGGTACTGGACAAAATGTTTTAATAGTCTGCTACACAGCAAAGTAGAAAACTTTTAAGTTGTTTCCACTCGAAGTGCAAAAAAAACTTCTAAATCTTTTTAGAGGTTACATAGGCAGCTAAGTGGAGCTACCTCTTCTGTAAAAGGTAAAACGGCGTGTCTATGGACCCCGGTCGGAAACGAAGTTCCTTTCGCTTTTTGGTAGACCATTGCTATACAGTCTGCTTAAACGTTGACGGGAAAAAGTCTTTTTAACACATTTTTCGTTCCAAAAAGTGAATTTAGCTCTTAGAACTTTCGATTAGATAATAATAATAACCTCACACACGGCTGTTCACAGCCCAAACTACCGGCAGAGCCTGTAACTGTCGTAACCAGACTGCTGATGAAACATGCTTAAATATTTCTACAAAACATACATGTTATATATAAATTACACCCAGACACAGAACGAAAGATCGTGCTCATCCCACAAATTTTTGTCCTGGGTGGGAATCGAACCCCAGCTTAGCAGTCAGCCTCACTAAGCACTAGACCAACAAGTAATGAAATATCCTGCTGTAGTATAACATAAAGGTCACGCATTTTATTTTTATATTATTAAATGTTTTTACTTTAAGTTTCATTGTTATTATTTCATATTCAAGTTTAGCTGATAAATTGTAACTTTACTATTTCAAAAATAAAATTTTAATTTCTCAAAGTTACTACAAATTTTAGGAGGAAGAAAAAATGCTTAAAAAATTCATAAAATATTGTTTAAACACTCAGGTACTCATTGACGTAAGCTACGTAGTTTTTTTATTTCATTTTCATGGACATATACATACAATTGATTGCACCTACGATGTTAATTTTATTTATTTTTTCAAGTTCTTTATTTTAATAGGTTATTATTGTTGCACATTTTATCACAAGTCTAAGTAATCATTATCATCATCATTAACAGTTTTAAATAGTCCACTTCTGAACATAGGCCTCTCGTTAGGAAGGAGGTTTTGGCCCACTATACTATATTTTGTCCATACGGGTCGGTATAGGGTTCGTAAGTTTTCTTTCTCTTTGCAGTGCAGTTGTCCTGACTATAAAACAGGTGTATCATGTATCAAATGATTGTATTTACATGAAAACCACTAAGTATGGTATGTGCCGGTGTATGTACATATGTGCGGTGAGTGTATCAGTATGTGCTGAGCTGTAGCTTTTAGATTTAACAAAGTAGTCCCATCTATGTTTAAAAGACTTCAAAAAGGAGGTTATCAATTCGGATGTTTATATTTTTTTTATGTATGTTCGGGCATAACTCCGTCATATATAGACGCATATCCAAAATTATTTTTTTGGTCGAAAGGGGTTTATTCTGAAAGGTCCAATTTAAATTTCACATAGATGTGATGATGAGTTTCGGAGACAGACAACGGAATTCCTCAAAAAATGAAATTTTTGTTAGTATTGTTTTGAAGCCAGTTCAACTTTTTTTTTTAAAGAGATTTATAGCATTAACCAAATATCTGAAGTAAAAGCAAGCTTTAAAACCCTTGTTGTAAACGTTGTTGCTCTTTGTACATTGTATTTCTTTCAATTTTAGGGTCCCATACCTCAAAACCATAAAACGGAACCCTTATAGGATCACTTTGTTGCCCGCCGTCTGTCTATCAAGACCTTTTTACCTCGGGAACACGTGGAGATATCCAGTTGAAATTAAAACCATATACTGTCTAGAGTCCTTAGAAGCTATCAAACTAATAAGTTGAGGTGAAAAAAAAAGATACGGGCCGTTTATGCCGCAAAAAACGTTGACTTAAAACTATGAAATTTGGCAAGAACAGGGAAAAATCTGAAACTATACATTTGCAATCAAATCATAAAAAATATAGTCTTTATTTAAAGTACGTGGTCAAACTTCGAGGTACTTCTAAAACACAATAATGTAAGTAATTGTAAATTTGGTTTTGGAAATTGAATTTTGGGAAAAGCTCAGCAAAAACTGTGAGATTTCGATTCCCAAACTATTTATAATATGTAACCTACCTACAAATTTGTAACGAACCCTCGGTGGGCGAGTCGACTCGCACTTGTCCGGAATTTCTTATTTTTTTACTACAGATTTTGTTAAAATGAAACAAATAAAGTGTGTTCTATCAGACTATCTACTAGTTTATTAAGGGCTATTGTCACAGAAAAATTTCATATTTATATAAACTTAAATATTATTTGACCACAATGCCAACTTACCTGGAGTACTAGAACATAGTGGGCCTACCCAGTTGCCATCAATACATTTAATCTTACATATAAGTCTCTCGTTCAAAGGTCCTATTAGACCAGGGAACTTTTACCTGAAAATTAAATGCATGCAAAGCCCTTATTATATAACTTGTATTCACTAAAAAAGGTGTTGAAGGAGACATTCGTCAACTTTAAGTATGATTTTAGTTTAGCAGTCTCACACCATCAAATTCAGCTAAAAGAAATTATTTGTACAGTATATGTTATATAATAAATTGTAAAACAAAGACAACCTTCAGATAACATTGAACCCAGGTTTCATCCATTAACCTCTAGAGGTTGAAACCTATATGTATTATTATTGTGTCCTGTATACCAAGAACGGAATCTATTGATTCAATGACATTGCCATTACTGATTGTTCAAAGGTCTTTTATATTGTTGTGTATTATTGAGACACTATCTTTCCATCTATTTTAATTGGAAAATTCTTTTTCAACTCAACAAACAAGAAGATCTAATGAGAAGAAAAATACATCTGCTGACTAAACTAGTAGTGAGGTTCACATAGTAAGCAGTAGCTTATCTCAGCCTACTAAGGAGGCAAACTATGCAGGACAACAGCACCGCAAGAGAAGGAAAACTTGACACAAACCTATACTAATCCATCTGCCCAGTGTGGTATTTTAGGCATAAATCTCCTTAATAAAGAGAGGCCTTTGTCCAGCAGTGGAGGTAGTAAAGACTTGAGGATGATGTAGCATATCTGGCATGGTTTTAAATGATTATCATATTGCCATGATAATAAGTTGTGATGTTTAAAGTATTTAAATAATATTAAGCTATTATGATGTGCTATAATATTGTAGTGTTAGACACTAATTTGTCCATACCTCAGATATTTTTGAGAAGTCAGACCTAAACCTTGTTACATCCAAATTTGAATCTAAACTCTTCACATCTGGCAGGGAACACTTAAACTCATCTATGGAATAAACAAAATAACTGTGAATATAAATAATAAAGCAATATTATTTTACAAAACTAATATAGGTACATCAACCAAATCCTTTTTTGATGTAAATTATTTGTGTAACTACTAGTTGTTGCAAACTGTTACTGCTTCCACAGATTTCCTGAGTTAAGAATAGATTTGGGCATCAATCAATTAATAATTCAAAACAAACTGCAAATTCATATAAATTTTCTTAATTTTTTATGTACCTACATATACAGATATTTTTAACAAAATTTAAAGAATTGTTGTTCTATTACTTTTAGCATTTGTAAACTTATAATTAACTTTTAAATGTGTTAGTTGTAGCCACAAAGTACCAAACATGAATCTTGAAATTGTAAGAACAATTTAACTTAGAGCAACACTGGTTAAGATTGCCACTATACAGTATATGAGACCAAACCGATGGTATCAGAAAGAGAGAAAGAAGTGATGCAATAGAAAATATTATCAGCCATAATCACAGTTTCGACTTCTGTTAGGCGGGAGGTACTTCCTCTAATGAGTGACTAAAGTTCCAGAAGAATAAATACATTGCATACCTCATAATTATTATAATTTCTGCTATAAGACATGCACCAAGCCAGCAGTGGATGTTAGCAACCTCCTTCAATTCCATGAAAACCAGTTAGGAAACTCCTAATATTAATAATAATTGTATTTACAATTTCAATAAGTTATAAATTACTAGTAGGTACTTATTATTACTCAATTACGAGTTTGGATAGGCCATAATAATATTTTATCATAAATATTACTTACCTTGCGGCAATGTTACATTATCTTCATTTTCGCACAATATTAAAGGTATAAACAGTACGAATGGTGCGATAATCATGTTAATGTTGTAGCGCTTGCCACTTCACCACATTGTGGAATTTTAAAATCTATATGAAATTAATTCATGGCCCTTTTAAGAATTCTTACTTATCCGCTTTCAATTCTTCAAAAACTTAATTTGTAATTGTAAAATAAGAGCCCTTCTGTCGGAGTTCTACTAATACCCTAATACTGTAAAACAGTATTACTGTACTCTGTGCTGTAAAATTCTGACATGACATGACAGATTTGGCCAAATTTGACAGAACAGAGACCAACAAGGAGACTGGCTTGGCTGGCTGTGACATTTTTGGAGCAATAATTATTGCTCAAAACCTGAGACATTCATTCCCGGTTTTGGTATAGCATTTAGGTCCGTTTAACATTATTTTATTGTACACAAGACCTACAGTAAATCTATTGAAAACATTTCCTATTTTATGATTGTGAAAAAAAAAATACTGACTAAACTACAAAAATAACAAACATAAAAAAAAATATAGTCGAATTGAGCACCTCCTCCTTTTTTTGAAGTCGGTTAAAAATAGTAAGTATAAATTTTTTTATGTATTGTCTAGCTAGTTGTCGATGTCGATAATAAAAATGTGAAAGTACAATTTGGACTTCAATTTTCAGACTATTTATGTTCTTATCTTAAATTATTAATATTATATTTAGATAGAGCATCGCGCTGCAAAAGAACAAAAAGAAATGAGCCGAGTTTTCAATATTAGTGTGCAATGTGCATGACAGTTCTGTGCCTACGTCGTCAGTCATCACGTGAAGTCACGGTCATTCTGTTTTCCTAGTTTGCGTACATAAATGATACCAGTTGTTGAAATTTTCCTTAAAATAGGTAAAAATTATAACAGTGTTGAATCTATTTTTAATCTAAAAAATATACTCTAGGCAAAAATTTGGGTTGAAAACAATTAATGTACTTAAACGTCTTGCTGAACACATAACATTAGTTTTTAGGGTGCCGCACCATAAAAGGAACAAACGGAACCCTTATAGAATCATTTTGTTGTCCGTCTGTCTGTCAAGACCCTTTAACTTGGGAACACGTTTAGGTATCGAGATGAAATTAAAACCATATACTCAGGTCTACAGTCCCTTGAAGGTGTGAAAAAGTCCAACTTTTAAGTTAACGTAACGTAAAAAGATAACTGCCGTTTATGACGCAAAAAACTCATTTTTCGACACTCTTAAGGAAATCAAAATTCATAGTTCCCTTTGACTTAGAACTATGAAATTGAGTAAGTAATATCGTCTTATACTACAAATACCGAGAAAAAATCTGAAAACCATAGTTTTGCTTCAATCGTCGAGGTACGATTTCACCTATAAAACACAATAATGTAAGTAATTATAGGTTTTGGAAACTCTATTTCTGACAAAGCTCTGAAAAAATTTCGAGACTCTATTCCTGAACTATTTATAATATGTACCTACAAATTTGTACGGATGTCTTGGTGGGCGAGTCCGACTCGTATTTGTCCGATTTTTACAAACTCCGAAACATATTCAGAGAGTTTTTTCTTGAGTTCATTAACTAGCAACACAAACTAAATGACGAACACTATACAATAATATTTTATTTTAGAAATAATTCAATGCCTTATTTAGCTGAAATAGTTAGGAAACAATGGTACTTATCGATTTTGGGTGATTTTTTAATTTTATTTTGATCTTCTTTACAATTTCTACACACTATTATAACACATCATCATCAGCCTATCGCAGTCCACGGCTGGACATAGGCCTTTCCCATTGCACGCCACTTAGATCGATTTTGGGCTTCTCGCATCCAGCTCCTGCCAGCCATCTTGCGCAAATCGTCACTCCACCTGGCCTGTGGGCGTCCTACACTACGTTTACCGAGACGCGGTCTCCACTCAAGAACTCGTTTTCACCAACGGTTGTCGGTTCTGCGGCTAATATGGCCAGCCCACTGCCACTTCAGCTTGCTGATCCGGTAGGCTATGTCGGTGACCTTGGTTCTCTGCCGGATCACCTCATTTCTGATGCGATCCCTTAGAGAAACGCCGAGCATAGCCCTTTCCATAGCACGTTGAGCGACTTTGAACTTGTGGACCAGCCGTACCGTAAGTGTCCACGTTTCAGCTCCGTATGTCATGACGGGTAGGACGCACTCATTAAAGACTTTCGTCTTAAGGCACTGTGGGATCGACGATGAGAAGACTCGACGTAGCTTCCCAAACGCTGCCCAACCCAATCGAATTCTTCTGTTCACCTCGTCCTCGAAGTTGTTTCTACTTAACTGCAATGTTTGCCCGAGGTACACATAATTTTGAACAACTTCGAGAACGGCACCGTGTACCGCAATCGGTTCCGGTAGTACATGTTCGTTGAACATGACCTTGGTTTTATCCAAGTTCATCCGTAGGCCGATGCGTACAGAAGCGTCAGTTAGGTCATTCAGCATTTGCTGTAGGTCCTGCAACGTCTCTGCCATGATGACGATGTCGTCTGTAAATCGCAAGTGAGAGATGTATTCGCCATTGATATTGATGCCACGCCCTTTCCAGTGCAGCGTCTTGAACATGTCCTCCATTGCATTTGTGAACAATTTCGGGGAAATAACGTCCCCTTGTCTCACTCCTCGATGCAATGGTACGGGCCTTGTTTGCTGATTCTGAACTTGGACGGACATGGTGGCGGCTTTGTAGAGACATCTCATCACTTGGATGTATCGCAAATCTACTTGGCAACGTTGCAGGGACTCCAGAACAGACCAGATCTCGATCGAGTCAAAGGCTTTCTCATAGTTCACGAATGCTAGACACAGGGGCTGATTATATTCTTCGGTCTTCTGTATAATCTGCCGCACTGTGTGCATATGGTCTATGGTGCCATGTCCGCTCCGAAACCCAGCTTGCTCCGGTGGTTGGAATTCGTCGAGTCTTTGCGCAAGACGGTTCGTGATGACTCTCGAAAACAGCTTGTAGATGTGGCTTAGAAGGGATATGGGTTGATAGTTCTTCAACCTGGTCTTGTCACCCTTTTTGAAGAACAAGACGACCACACTCCTACTCCACGCTTCCGGAGTTCTCCCTTCAAACAGGACTGCGTTGAAGAGCTTTTGGAGCTCCCTTAGTACAGGTTTACCCCCGGCCTTTAGCAGCTCTGTTGTAACGCCATCCTCTCCAGGGGCTTTTCCATTTTTCAGCTGTCCAAGAGCCATCTCGATTTCGTCAATGCTAACTTCTGGCAGGTCTTCGGTGTAGTGACGTGTTAATGTGGCTCTAGAGTCCTCATTTTCGGGATCAGGTCGAGATGCATGCGTTTATCGATTATTTTACGCATATATTATCACACACATCGTCATATTAAACAAGACAAAACATGAAAGCAACGTTTGTGCGTATCCAGTGACAGTACTTTCACAGTGCGCTAGGCGGTGCTGTGCACCGGGGCCCACAATCTTAGGGGTCCTCGGACCCTGACCAGAAAAACCTCGTATGTTTTTTTTTAAAATCTCCCAACCTTTGGAATGTAAATAAAATAAACTGTAACACGACTTTAAGGTAGTACTGCCGGTCAGAGAGGTACTAGGTACCTTAAAAAGTTAAAAGTATTGAACTTTGAAATTTTTATTTCTTTCAAATCTTTTTACTGGTTCACGGTAGTTTTTCAAAAATTTAACGAGATCTTTATCTTATCATTATTTACTAATATGCCTGATGCCAAATATAGAAAAAAATCTTAAACGGTTACTCTCTGACCTTCAGTACTACCTTAAAGTAGTGTTACAGTTTATTTTATTTACATTCCGAAGGTGGAAGAATTTTTAGCTAATTCAATGCAGATAATCCCCCCCATTGCTAACAGTATATTTGGAGTTCAAAGCTCGTTGTCGGAAATAGAATATTTGTTATAACTAATTAACGCTTTGAAGGAAGATACTGAAATTTTGTAGGGCTCCAGGTATAAATACAAGATACAGTTCAGTGCTATAATAATAATAATAATAAATTAATAAATAATCAAGTATTGTGATTGTGAGAAGGACTTTGTCTCTGGAGTCCTAACCACCGGTATCTTGGTCCCTGTAACTGATACCGATGGCACACAATTTTTTATAATTTTAAATGTAATTTTTATGTATTTTAATGAAATAAAGAGAATAATATAATAAAATTTAGGACATTTGACATACAACGCCACCTAGTTTCAAACTAATCAGAGCTTGTACTATGAAAACTAGATTGATTGATCGAATACTTATACTTTTTTTTTGTAAAGATATAGGTACATGTTATATATACATACACACATAGAAGCACCCAAACTCGAAAGAAATAATTGCAGATCATACAAACAGTTGGGGTTTCTGGGTTGCCTAGTTTGGAATTATTATCAGCTAATTTCTTTTCAGAAAATTATTATTATCATGGATATCACACTATGATATCAATGTTTTTTGAAATTTAAATTTTTAACGCACTTTTTGTCACAAATTTTAAGCTATGAATCTGGTTCTTTAAATCAATTAAATAATACTTACTAATACTTTAAATCCAGCTAAGTCAACGCATTTTTTTTTGCTGTATTAATGTTACTCTACATTCTACAATCTTATGTTCGTGACTATAAAGCAATTAGGGAGCATACATGGACGAAGTTGGACACACTTATAGAATAAAAGTCTCTCATTATCTGCATCATTTAAACCCTAAGGAGAACAAGAACAATTTTGATACTGAGTTGTAAATTTCTCGTTAATCTAACGATCTGAACTGAAACTTTTAATTGATAAGTTATTGAATGGGGATTTACCATGTTTATGATATAAGTACATGGTACCTACATATTCCGTTTTTAATGACTATCAAGTTAAAATTACCATGGTGGTTTGAATGAAACTTTCAAGTGTTATTTTTGAGTTACTTACACATAAGGTATATTTTTCTTGTGTTAAAACAAAATCTTAAAATATCACTCAGTATTAGAGTGAAATTTTAGGCCCTCTGCCCCCGTGTTAATTATCGAAAG